TGCCAGGATTCTATGACTTCAGCAGCAATAATTCAAAGGTCTGTCCTTTCTATATTGTTAATGATACTTGAAAATATCTGGAATTACGAATTTAATGGTGACCATGAATCTATTGTCGATTGTCGGGAAAAACCCATCTGGTTCACTCATGTCCTTTAGGGAAGGAAAGTGACATCCTTACCTGGTGTGGCCTACATGTGATTTCTGATCCACAGGGATGTGGTTGACTCTGAACTGCCCTCTGGGCAATTAGGGATGGGCAATAAATGCTGCCTGGTCAGTGATGCCCTCATCCCATGAATGAATAAAGAAAAAAAAAATGGGGCCTTTCCAATTCATCTCAGAAAGCAGACATGGCCTCAATTTGACATCTAACATGAAAGATGGCATCTCAGGTAGTACAGCACTCCCTCAGTATGACATTAGTGTAGAGTACCAGACTGGGTCACACACACTTAAAAGGGAACAGTATTGCCAACTGAGCTGAGGCTGACACTCCTGCAGGAATGTGATGGTATAAATCTTGCTCCATTTACCAGGCACTGCTCACCTGCCAGATCGTAAAAACAAAAGTTGCCAGACATTCTTTTCTTTCCCCCAAGTCAGCGTTGTCCCTTTAAAAAAAAATTCAGGTCATGGTGAAAAAAATACAATGTGTGAATTTGTTGAAAATGCAACCTATCCTGCAGGCACGATTGACATAAAATCACTTTTCTCATGCTGGCATGGAGTACTGTCGAGCTGGGAGCACGATCCAGTAATCCAAAGCAAGATCCCAACAAGTTTGCCGAGAGAGCTGGTAAATAAGAAAGGATTGCATGTGGGCAAATCCGCAGAGATTGTGCAACCTAGTAATGCAATTCAGTGCCAAATATCACCTAAATGCTTTTAGGAAAACTGCGATTGTATCCCCGGTCCCTACACACTAGTGAATCTGAACTGTGCAGCCTCAACAAATTTCAGCGATCTCCAGTCCAAAACTTAAGTATTTTATTGAACGAGGCAGAACATGAACACAAAATATAAATGTGTCAATAATGCGACCATTTGTTGCATTTTCCCCCTCCTTCCACTGCCTCACTATATGAATAACTCATTGTTAGGACAGTGATAAAGATGGAAAAAGCAAAAACCAAAGCAAAAGGAAAGCAAATACTGTGACTGCATGCCGTAACTTAGAAAGCTTATGTGAATTGTTTAGGGCTGCACTGAATTGGCTGCACTCCTCTGAATGGTAAATTTTCAACATTAACTTGCTGTTATCTGATCTTCCTGCTCTATATATGTCAATGGGCTGAGGCTCTAACATTATAGGAATGCAAAACTAAAGGTGTGGTGATCTTTTGTTAACAGAGGCAGCAGAGCTAAACATGTCAAATAAGACAGGTGGGGTACCCCGGCAACCAGCATTTCGTACAAACCCAGTGTTACTTGCCCATAGTGATCTTTCATTACGGTAGAGCAAGGTCAAGGAAAAGAGGTGAATGGTGGGGCAGGGTGGGGAGCCCATAGCTATTGTGGCATAGCCAAACTGTACACATATGGTTACCAATGCTTTCAACCTCTCTCGCTCCAAACTGTACACATATGGTTACCAATGCTTTCAACCTCTCTCCCTCCAAACTGTACACATATGGTTACCAATTCTTTCAACCTCCCTCCCTCCAAAGACCTTTCAAATGTTAGTATTGATCTCTCTATAAATGCACCTTCTCTGCAGCTCTAACACTGTAATCTGCACTCTATTCTGCTATCCTGATGCACTTTGTATGGTACAATCTGCCTGTGTAGCACACAAAACAACACTTTTGACATGGGACAATAAATCCACCAATCTATCCTAATTCTCTCTCTCTCACTCTTGATTATTCCAGGACTCCAGTTCCGGCTCTAAGTCAACACCTCCACCCCTTTCTGTCATCCTTAACTGGACTGCAGTGGTTCAAGATGGCAGCTCACCATCACCTTCTCAAAGGGTACCTACAGACAGGTTATAAATGTTGGTCTTTGGGTTTCTGACAGGAATGGAGGGGGCTCATTCAGTACATTCAAGGCTGAGTTAGACACAGTTTTGATTGTCAAGGGAGTCAAGTGCCAGGGCAGTGGGCAGACAGGAGAGTGGGTTAATGCCATAATTTGATGAGGGGACGATCTTACCAAATGATGGAAGAGGCTCAAGGGAGAAATGGCCTACTCCAACTTTTATTTCTTATGTCCTAATGAGTCAAGCAACAGGAGATGAATTCTTAATGTTGAATTCTGAATGTTGAATTCTGAATGTTGAATTCACGGTGCAATTGGATAGCAGGCAACACAGGAAGAAAGGAGAAGGCTACTCTCCTCTTCTAACCTGCTGTGCCATTCAGTAAAGACCTTGGTAAATCTGTAACAACTCTGTTTGCTTCTCATCCCTTGATCTCGTTACCTGGTAAACTTCTGCCAATCTCACCCTTGTAAAATGTCAACTGATACAGCAGCAATTGTACTGCGTGTGGCTCAGTTCCAGATTCCACCCTCTTTAGAGTGAAATAAAGGGCTTCTTGATTTCACCGCTCAATAGCCTGACTTTAAATTCCACTAACTTCAACAACAGAGGGAAATCTGCGGAGGTGGATAATTGGCAGCTGACTCTCTCCTGGCCTTTTTCTGCTCCTGAACCTTGATGCCCAGTGGTCATTTTTCTGACGCAGCAACTGGCACAACAAGCCAAGATTTCAGAGCAGCTGAGCTGGGGATCCTACCGCAGTGAGAGCTGTAGAAAACAAGAAACAGCTTGAGGCCTGATAGATGGGAAGATGAGTAGGAAAAACATCAACTCTTCAAGAAATAACCCTGTGTGAACAGAGCTATCAGTCAGGCACAAATGTGTGCCCATCCTTGACACTTCATTTCCCCTAACCTGTTCCTTTCCTAACAACTGACTGACTCAATGACAAGGGACAAGGTGCAAATGCAAACAGCTAACAATACTTGTCCATCAATTCTTCCACGAGCTTAGAAATCTAATAAACAATAGTGAAGATGAATTTTATTTATTTTTTTCAGTGACGGGTTATCATCCACCAAAGTATTAGTTACTTTTCCCCTTGCTCTGGCACCAAGAAACCCCTAACACAGTCGCACTACAGGTTTTCCTATTTCTTTGCAAGTAAATCCAGACTATTAGGTTATCTGCATTAGGTATGTAAAGGCCATATTACTTTTGGCTAGCCACATCTTTATTAACCTACCCGGTCCACTCCTGCTGGGATTGGAGAGGAAATACAATGAGATCTGTGAATTCAATTCTGGATTTCTGTATCTTAAGTTTCTCCTCAAACCCCCTGAGCAAGCCCTAAATGGATCCTTGAGTTTTGCTGTTAGTTTGTAACGTTCACAGAACACATTGAACCCAGGGGAGGATGAACAATTAGCCCGAGATACAGGCGGGTGTAAAGAGGCCAGATGAGGAATTTCACAACATTGGCTGACCGATGTGCCTGTTCATTGGCTCCATCCTGCTCCTTGGGACACTTCTCACGGGGTAAAACGGAGTCTCACTGGACAGGCTGTGATTGGCATTAACCCTGTTAAAGGCCTGGTAAGGCACCTTGTGGGACCTGGGAAGGGATTCAATTCAGCTTTAAGGACCTATTGGTGGCAGTAAGGGCAGTGCAGCTACAGGAGGCAGTAAGGGCAGTGCATT